TTTTTTTTTTTGGTAGAGTGGGGCAGATGGGGATGGGGCAGGGAATGCTGAATATCAGTATCATCAAGGGAGCTTTTTCAATGCACACTCCATGCCCCATTACCCCTAAGACTCCCATAGGAGCTCAAGGAAGGGAGGGGGTGTCCTTCAGGATCAGTGTCACCCATACTTCTTCTTGCCTTAGACCCCAATATAATTTGATAGGACACCATACCTGATCCTGTCTTTATTAAAATTGTCGTATTTTTAAGTTGTGATTTTTTTTTGCATTAATTTTGATTTTTTAAAAATATTGCATTAGAAGATTATCTTGATGACTGAAAATTTTAGGGCCCCTTACATTTTTATTTTATTTCACTTATTTTATATTTAATTGTGGTAAAACACGCCTAACATAAAAGTTACCATCCTAACTGTTTTTAAGTGTACAGTACAGTGGTATTACATACATTCACATTGTTATAGAACCATCTCCAACACCATCCATCTTCCCAAACTGAAGCTCTGTATTAAACAATAGCTCCCCATTCCCCGCTCCCTCAGCTCCTGGCAACCACCATTTTACTTTCTGTTTCTATAAATTTGCAAGTCTAGATACTTCACATAAGTGGAATCATACAACATTTGCCTTTTTATGACTGACTTATTTCACTTAACATAATGTCCTCAAGGCTCATCCACATTGTAGCATGCATAAGAATTTCCTTCCTTTTTAAGACTGAATAATATTCTATTGTATGGATGGATCACATTTTGCTTATCCATTCATCGATCCACGGACACTTGGGTTGTTTCCACCTTTTAGTTATTGGGAATAATACTGCAATAAACATGGGTGTGCAAATACCTGTTTGAGACCCTACTTTCAATTCTTTTTGGTTTATACCTAGAAATGGGATTGCTGAATCATATGGTAATTCTATTTTTAATTTCTTGAGGAAATACATTGTTTTCCATAGTGGCTGCACCATTTTACATTCCCATCAACAGTACACAAATGTCCAGCTTCTCCTTATCCTTGCCAACAATTTTTGTTTTCTTTCCCTTTCCTTTCCACGTTTCTTGATAGAAACCATCCTAATGATGCGAGTTGGGTGTGAAGTGGAAGTGCCCTTAGACTTCCCACTCAAGGAGGTGTCTCACTCATCTCACTGTGGTCCCCATTCTGCCTCCTGGTTACAGGCTGACATCTAGATCCTGACAGACCTGTGTTACATCCCAGGAGCGGGCTAGTGTAGGAAAAAATCCTGTGCGTTTGGATTAGAAGTGCTGTTTCACCACATAGTAACTGTGACTTTGGGCAAGTACTTGTCTGAGCCTTGCTTTCCTCATTGGTAAAAGGAGGCTAGAACTTGTATTTAACTGATAGAATTGTCATGAGGATTAAGTGGACTAGTATATACAAAGCTCAAAGACATAGTAACCGTCATATCTGAGTAAGTGATAGCTTCTGTTAACACAGATTCCACTTATGGATGTAGCTGGGTTTGGGTTTTTTTTTTTAGTAAATTTATCACTTTGGAATACTTTTAGATTCATAAAAATGTTGCAAAGATAATACAGAGAATTCCCGCCTGCCCAACTCCCTCTAATATTTGTGTCTTACACAAATATGATACATTCAAGTAATTAACATTGATCCAGCACGATTATCTAAACTACAGGATTTGTTTGCATTTCACTGGTTTTTCTACTGATGTTCTTTTTCTGTCCTAGGATCCAAGCTAGGATACCACATTGCATTTATGGTGCAGCTGCTTTTGTTTGTTCTGCTTTGTTTTTCTGTTATTTTGCCTGCAGAATGTTTTATAATGCTGGGATGTGAACGCCTTTAGACAGGCATGGTTCTCTGCTCTGCCACAATCTTTTACCACCCGCTACTGTCAGGTGCCTGCTTCTTGCATCTGCATTTACTGCCTGTCCCTGGAGACATGTGAATCTACAACCCCTGGATTAGCTGATGGCTCCATCCCTTCCCCTCTGGGGGACTGTAATTCAGTGATTAATTCTTTGGGGTCTCCAGAAATCCTCTATTAAAATCCAAACACTGTCAGGTCGCTATTTCACATAAATCAATTCACAGATGAACATCTTAGCAGAAAGTAATTGGTAGGGAGGAAGACTTTATGGGATTCTTAGTGAAAGAGTGTGTGGAGGTGGGACAGAGAGAGGAGGATGGAGAGGGACCTCTAGGGAAGGCAGGCCAGGCTCTGATGCTGGGTGTTATCTATCTTATGTCTTGGGCTGGACCCTGCCGGAGACAGGCCCCGAGTCTCACTGCTAAGTATGTGACATCTGCCCCTACTACCACCCCACTCCCTGGCATCCCGGCTCTGTGAGCCCAGTGGGGCCCACCCTGTCGCTGTCCTGGGCCACTCCCCTGGCTCTGTCTCCTTCCTTTCCAGAATGCAGTAACTCAGGTAGTTGGTGGTGGATGGGAAAGAGAGGTTGGGTGAAACTCTGCCACCTGAAACAATTTATTAAGGAGCTTCTCTTTTCCCCCGGCAATGCAAAGTGCTAAAAAGGGATCTGAAAGTGAAGGGCTGACATCTAAACACAGCAGCAGCGGCGTTTACAACCTTGCTTTTTATTCAGAAATAGCCCACAGGCTATGAGCAATCAACTAGCTTATTTTCTTCTCCATATTTTTACATATCTGGATGTGCGTGTACAAAATTTCATATAGGAGTTACTTGGCTTGTATCTGGATGTTTAAAGAATTCCTCTTATTGACTAACAGTTCAAATGACCAGAAGAGGATGAAAGGGTTGTTTGTTTCAAAAAATTAAGAATGTTCCCCTACCTTAGATTCTTGTTTTTGCTCGTGGGAAAAGCTTACAAGAGGCCTCGAATATTGGCCACACAACTTCCCCCGCCCTCACCCTCGTGCTTTAGTTGGTGCTACAGCACAGTTGGGTAACAGAATGGGTCAGACTGACCTCATCTGAGCACTGGCTCCACCCCTAACTGGCTGTGGGGACTTGGGAGAGTTACTCAACCTCTTTGTGTCTCAGCTTCACCTGTGAAATGGGGATAATTGTAGCCCCTGCCTTTCAGGATTGTTGTGAGATTAAAGACAGAGGAAGCAAAGCATAGGGGAGAAAAAATAATTTTCCCTTTAACCTCAAGTTTCTTAGCAGAGACACCCCTGTAGTAAAAAGACAGATTAACAGGAGAAAAACAAACACAAGTACAATAACACGTACCCCTCCTGTATACATGGGTGGGACCCAGGAAAACTGAGAAACTCCCCCAAATGGCCAGAGCCATCATCTTAAATACCATGTTCAGCTAAAGACAAAGGAAGCTGTTTGGGGTGGGGGAGTCAATTATGGGAGGTGACCAGGAAAAACAAAGTAGATGAGAGTAAGGTTGTTATTCAGATTTTTTTTTAAGTCATCGCCTTCTCCATTGATATGAGTTTCCAGAGATTCAGTCATCCTCCTCTTCCTGGTACAGAGAAGGATGGATACACCCTTACGAACGGCAAGTTCGCTTCTAAGTGTCTTTTACAAAAGGGTAACTTCTACTTGGTTTTCAGAGCTTCTCTTGTGTCTGCAATTTCTTTAAAATAACCGATTCAAGGTAATCCTTATGCCAAAGGGACACACTTCGGGGTGGCAAAATTCTCCTCTCTTTCAAAAGCATGCAAGGTGCTTAGTGCAGTGCCTAGTGTGTAGTCAGTGCTCCAGATGTTTATCTGTTGTGTGGAATGCTCAGGGAATGGCAGCATAATTGTCATCCAAATGGCCACCAACATGGAAACAAGGGAAGAGAAGAGGCAAAGAATCAAAAGAGAGCTCTTGGGGGTCAGTATAGCTCAGAGGATGCACCAGGCCTGGGGTTCAATCCCTAGTACTTCCATTTAAAAAAAAAAAAGATCTTTTATGGAGGGCTGACATTGTGGGTGCTCTAAATAAGCACTTAGAGTGCTTTCACATATAGGTAATTGTTATTTCTGACAAGAATCTTATAATTTTCTCCATTTGCCAAGTGAGGATAGTTAAGCTCAGAGGGTCCAAATGATGCACCAGCTATCCCATAGCAAAAAAAGATGTAAAACTGGCCTTGCAGTAGTGGAGTGGAGCGGTTAGGAGTGTGACTCTAGGAAGTCTGTAGCTTTTGACCTCTTTCACCTTTTCCTTCACCCCTCCCTCCCAGGCTCCTCCACCTCTGGCAACAACCAATCTGTTCTCTGTTTCTATGAGTTCATTTATTTTAGATTCCACATGTAAGGGAGATCATACAGTATTTGTTTTCTCTGCCTGACTTATTTCACATAGCATAATGATCTCAAGGATCATCCATGTTGTCCCAAATGGCAGGATTTCCTTCTTTTCATGGCTGAATAATATTCCACTGCATATACATACCTCATTCTCTTATCCATTCATTCTTCAATGGACACTATCTTAGCTCTGGTGAATAACACTGCAATAAACATAGGGAGAGAGGAGAACTCTTCCAGATACTGCATGGTGACTGTTGCTACATGCTGTGTGGTATGTTTGAAAGTTGCTAAGACAGTAGATTTTAAAATTGTCTCTCCCACACACACAAAACTGTAACTATGTGAGGTGACAGATTGTGAACCAACCTTATTGTGGTCATTATTTCACAATATATACACCATACCAGACCAACACATTGTACACCTTAGACTAATACAATGTTAAATGTCAGTTATATCTCAATAAAGCTAAAAATAAAAGAGAGTATGAACCCTGGTGTTCAAATCCCGCCTACCTGTCTGTCGTCTTGGACTAACTATGTGTTGTGGGGAGAGTCTGTTAAGTTCTGCATCTCAGTTATCTCCTGTATAAAGATAAAATAATACCTTATAGTGTTACTGTAAAGACTCATTGGGGGGCACACAGTCCCTACTGGTCTTTATAAATATGTGGGGGGAAAAACCTTGGAAATCTAGACCCTCTGAGTCCAAATCTCCTGCTGTTTGGACACAGAACTGACTGAAAGAAGCACCCTTCCTCTACCCCCGTTTTACAGACGAGAAAAATAAAGCCATTGAAATGGAAGGTCTTTGGGTTTCCGTTCAGGAAATAAAATTAAGAAAACTAAAACTTAGGAGAGTGAAAAAAATATCTATGTGACATAAAACACAAAGAGACAAAACAGCAGGTCCAGACTAAATAGAAGCCAGACAGAGCACCTGTGATAATGCGGAGGCTGAGAAGGTTGCCGAAACAGTGAGCTCATTTCTGATGGGTAACCGGAAAGAGCAAGCCCTGTTGTCACACACCTCGGAGGCTGGCCTGGCAGCTGCCAACATGCCGACAGCAGTCTCCTCCCGCGGGTGCGCGGCTGTGCGGCTCCGGGCTCCTTCCCCTCAGCCGCATCTGGGGGCTGCTCCCACCAGTCCCCTTGAGAAGACTCGCTCTGAGCACCCTCTTTTCCAGCTGGCTCCCTGTCGGCAGCAGCTGGCCTCAGTTTCCAGTCTCAGTCAAACCACCCCTGTGCAGACAGATGAGGGCAAGGTGTTCGGAGGCACTGGCTACAAAGGCAACACTTTTCCTAAAGCAGATGCTGTAGCAGATTCAGGATCCCTCCAGAAACATGGTGTCTCTTCTCTGGTTATCCCTGTACATCTTGACTTAGGTTTTACACACGCACACACACGCGCGCACACACACACACACACACACAGCAAGAGAGGAAAGAACAAAGACTTCCTGCTTTCACTACTGGTCAAGTGATTCCATTTGGCCTGAGCAGGTCCAGTCAGTGACCTGCAGGATGGCCAAAAGGCAGGTGGTGGCAGAATAAGACAGATAAGAAAGCAGAGCGCAGGAGAAGGTGCCTGGGACAAGGTGGGGGAGGGCTCCAAGCTTTGTTATCTCTGGCCCCTTTGAACATTTTTCCTCCATTATGAAGCAACATCTCTACATATCTAACCTACACCCGTCCCCACCCCCGCCTCAGCTCAGATGAAGTGCGTGGAGCAAGTCCACCCATCCCATCCCTCCTGTGACGATGAGGTCACCTCCTGGGTTCTTTCCTGTGCATCTGAGTGTAGCTGGCAGGCTGTTTGATTGCTTGTCTCCCTCTCCTGTGGGTGTCCTCTGAGTGGCCTCAGGTGAGACTCCAGAGGCTTGTGGGCAAAATGCTCAGCTTCTATTTGTTGCGAGCGGAGCTCAGCTCCAACTAACCTTGGCAGGTCCCAAACCAGATTTTCCTGGCTGGCCCTCCCTTTGGATTACTTCATCCCGCTCAGGAAAGGCAATTCATTAAATGCGCTATTTGATGAGATGGAATATTTCTGCTTTGATGGAATGTTGCTTTAGATAAACTCACACAGTGGAAAAAAAAAACCTTTTTCTGTGAAACAGTGACCTACTTGGGTTTCTAAAAAAACAATCCTTTACCGTCACAGGTGGCTGGAACACACGGTCCAGTCAGGACAGCACAAGAGATTGGAAAGAGTAATAATCTTTTGAAGACAAATTCAGGAGACATGCTTTATTTTTTAGTGTTTAAAAGTTATGTTACATGCAGTAAAATTTACCCTTTTTAGTGTATAGTTTCATGAGTTTTGACAAATGCATACATACACGAGCATTTGTCAAAATTCCTAAAACTATACACTAAAAAAGATGTAGAATAGTTCTGTTCTACAGAAGTTTCCTTGTGCCCCTGTTTTGGGTTGAATTGTGTCCCTTCAAAATTTGTATGGTGAACCCTTAACCCTCAGTGCCTCAGGATATGGCCTTATTTGGGGATAGGGTCCTATAGAGGTGATCAAGTTAAAGTGAGGCCCATTAGAGTGGGCCCTGATCCAAAATGACTGGTGTCTTTATAAAAAGGGGAAATTTGGAGCCACACACCACACACACGCACACACACATGCACACACAATACCATAAGAATATGAAAATGGCCACCTACCAGTCAAGGAGAGTAGCTGGAACAGATCCTACCCTCATAGCCCTCAGAAGGAACCAACACTGCCAACACTCTGATCTCAGACTTCAGGTCTTGAGAATGGCAAAACAACACGTTTCTGCAGTTTAAGCCACCCAGTTTGTGGCACTTTTGTCACGGCAGCCCTAGCAAACCGAGGCAGACCCTCAATAGTCAACCTCCTCCCCCACCTCAGCACTGGGCAGCCACTGATCCGATTTTTGGGCCTGCGGTTTTGCTTTTTGCAGAGTGTCATGTAAGTGGGATCACACAGTACGCAGCCTTTTGAGACTAGCTTCCTTCAACACAATGCTTTTGCGATTCACCTACATTCCCTTTTTTTTTCCTATTCCTTTTTTATTGCTGAGGGGGATTTTGTTTTATGGATGAACCACAGTTTCATTTATCCATTCACCTGTTGAAGGATATTTAGGTTATTTCCAGGGTTCGGCTATTGTGACTAAAGCCTCCATAAATATTCACACATACACTTGTTTTGCATGTAAAATTTTCTCTTGGGTAAATACCTAGGGGTGGGATTCCTGGGTCACACCATGATAAGTGTATGTTTACACTTGTCAGAAACCACCACGTTGTTTCCAAAGTGGCTGCTCCCTTTTTGTGTTCTTGCCGCAATGTTTGACCCCCTTAGACGTTTCACATCCTCCTCAATGCACTTGATATTGTGTTTTTCATTTTTGCCAGTAGCAGCTCTATGCAGGTATCTCACTGTGGCTTTATTTGCATTTTCCTAATAACTAAAAATGTTGAGCATCTTTTTATGTGGTCATTTGCTGTCCCTATAACTTCTTTTGTCAAGTATCTATTCAAATATTTTCCCCATTCTTAATTGGGTTGTTTGTTTTCTTATTTTTGAGCTTGAGACAATAAAAGTCTTTAATCAAGTATGTGTTTTGCAACTGTTTTCTACCAGACTGTGCATTGTCTTTTTATTTTCTTAACAGTATCCTTTGAGGGGCAGACGTTTTAAATTGGGATGTGGTTCAATTTATCACAAATTTTTTAATAGACCATGCTTTTGGTGTCATATCGAAGAAATCTTCACCCAAGGGCACAAAGGTTTTCAGAATACCTGCTTTCATCCTGAGTGAGGAGCTGATTCTCATCCTGAACGAGTCATTCATCCTTTCTCAGCCTTAGCTTACCCTTCTGTGAAATGCAGAAATTGAAGTGTTACGTATTTTTCAAACTACTTGACAGCAGGAAACTACTTCTACCTGAGATCATCCATGGTACCCCACATATAAAATACATAGAGGTGTTCTTGGGGCCCTGGCCTTCTGAGGTCTCGGTGAGCAGCGTTGCCCTAACTTTCACGTGTACACAAATCACCTGAGGCCCTTATAAAAATGCAGATGCTGATCTGTAGGTCTGGGATGAAGATGAGATTCTGTAGTTCTAACAAGTTCCAGGTGATTCCCACTGCTGGTCCAGGGACCTCACTTTGAGTGGCAAAGCTCCAGGTTCTCCCAAGGCCAAAATGTGGTCTACAACATAAGACTGGATTTCTACAGTGTGTTTCTTTCAAAGAGAGCAAAGTTCTTCCATGTCAATAATTATTTTTTCCTCCCTTCTATCTGCCCCATTTTTATCCCCAGTTAGCTAATGGGTACACCGAGGCCCAGGTTTTCAGCCAGGTTCTCGGGAATGTGGCAGAATCAGGTAGAGAAGAGTGCTGCCAGCAGCTGGGGACATGTATGGCACCCTTGTGAACTGTATGGTAAAGTCAGTGCACCACTGAGAACTGGTTCTGTTGGATTGGAAACTCAAACCGGCGTAAGGAAGAGGGGGACTTTTCTTGGTTCATGTAACTAAAAAGTCTGAGGTTATTCTGCCTGCAGGTGGAGTTGGAGCTGGGTGTTTGAATGCTATCATACAAACATGGCACTCAAAGTTCTAGTTCTGTACTCCTTTGCATTGGTTTCACACCCAGGCAGGCTCTTCCCATTCAAGGCCACTGGCTGACCTAGGTCCACATTTGATCAGCGTCATACCACCAGCAGAAAGATAGGTCCCCTTTCCAATAGTTTCAGCAAAAGCACGACATATGAGCTTCACTGGCTTAGCTCAGGCCGTGTGCCTGCCTATCCATGTAACAGTGACTGTGGCCAAAGGGACTGTGGGATGCAGTGATCTGATGGACCAGGCCAACATGACGCTTACAGCCTGGGGGTGAAGTCAGCTTCACCTGAACCACATGGACAAAGAATGGAAGGAAGGTTTCCCAAAAGAAAGGGGAATGCTGTTTGCTGAATGGGCAAACAACAGTGTCCACTGCAGCCATTATGAATTCGTAACATGAAAGCCTGTGTTTTTGGATTTGGTTTTGGATTTTAAGAGGGGAGAGGAAACAAGAATCTGTAACTCTGGCTACTCAGGAGACAGTCTCATTGTGCCTCAGATGCCTCCGTCCCTCTTTGCCCTCAACCTGTTTCGAAGCTTCTTGAGTTCCCTTTCCCCATTTCCCCACCTCCAACACCCAAGATTTTCACACTACCTTTCCCAGTCTGATAAATGTATTTCAGTGCGAAAAAGTTATATTCCTATTCTTCTGGAGTTACTTGGACTTGAAGTGTAAACTGCAAAAGAGGGCAACGCTTGGCACAAAGTAATTTTGCACTAAAGTTGGAATTCCAGGCATTGGGGGATATTTCCCCCCTAGGAAAGAAGGATCCCCTTGGTCCTGCCAAGTCATCCAGTCCGTTTGGCTGACCTATAAGATTGACCAAGGTCATAGCCTTCTAGCTGAGACCAGTCCCCTCTGTCTGGAAGTGGCTGTGGAAACAGGTGGAGTCACAGCTGTGCTGATTCAAGGCGATGTCAGGGCTCTCTTGGGAGGAACCTCTAAATAGGAGTGCAGGTGGCAAACCTTGCCTAATTGTCAACGTGAAAAGCCTGTAAATTGAGACTTCAGGAGGGGAACATACTTGCTTTCTCTCTGGCAGACAGAAGAGGCTGGTTGGGGCCTGAGAGCCATCAACTTCAGTCATTCAGGTGGTTAGAAACACCCCCAACTGTCAGTCTGCAGGCAGGCCCAAGCAGCTCCCCGGCAGGAGGAGAATGGCTCTGGCTACAAAAGAACCAGTTCTAACCAAAGATGGGAACTTTTTTGTGTGTAGGATCAAGTAGATGTTCTGTAATGTCAGGTTAGTCTGATAGGGTATTTTACTGAATGACACAAATTCCAGCTTCAGTAACCGTACCCCAGTGTCAACAGTGGATGTAAACAGATTGCCTTATAGAGTGAGAAAATACGTACACGGTGTCCCAGCCTCCCCGCTCCTGAGCATATGAGCTAGGAGACCACAGTTGGCACCCGTAGGCACCTCTCCCTCCCTCACCCAGCGCGCACAATGACCCCCTTCATGCGCTGCCCGCCAGCCTCCTTGGGAAGGGCGCTCGGTGTGTGCAGAGTCTGACTACAGTACTACTGTACGTGGTAATCATTAACCTGAAGTGGCGTTTACGATGAGGAGATGTGGTGTGTGTCCTGCGCTCCCTTCATCCCTCCAGCAAACAGAATGTACTGACTCTAAACAGGTAGGGCCAGTTGCTGCCAGGCCCTCAAAGACACAGTGTTCTGCTCTGGAATCAACCTTGCATAATGGGCCCATTCAAGCCAGCGGCAGGCGCCTTCCTCTCTGGGCTGCACAAATGCAGGAGTTCAGCCTGGACCCC